TTGTGAAATCAAATTTCAGTATATTATATATTAATATATAAATATATTATATATTACATATAATAATAAAAAGTTTGGTTAATTTGGTTAGCTGAAATTCTAATTCTAAAAATTGAAACTGAAAACCGAATTAACCGAACCGATCTAACCAAAAACCAAAAAAACTGAAACCAAAATTTTTGGTTCGGTTTTTCAGTTTTAATCAAATAGTGCTCACCCCTACCTAGAAGGATCAACTCCATAAGGTCCAGAACCAATAGATTGTTGAATACTTAAATTTAATGAATTTCATTATTCATTTATTTGCATAGTTGGAGTTGAACTTTTGATATTTTAAGGAGTTTGACTATAATGCCGGAAAAACATGATACTGAAAAAACATATAACTAGTATTTCCTTTACCTGCTTCTCAATAACAAATTTTCCACTAAGAAATTGCTAATCATAAGAGGGATGGATATTGATGGATCCTATGAGATTTATGGGGATGAAGAAGACACAAACCATATCTTTATAAACTGCCTGATTGCCAAACAAGTTTGATTGGGTAGTAGAGACTCAGTTAAGGTTCCTAGCAACCGGAATGGTTCTGTTCGCGATTGGTGGAACCTCGTTTCTAGTAATGAAGGTGGGGATTCAATTAGTTGCCCTTATAGAAAGGAAAAAATTATGTTGCTTCTCTAGCAACTTCAGAAAAACCGTAATGATAGGGTTTTAATAAAAGAAATGTGGCTCCTCCCAGTATTATTGAGAGAGCATGAAATTCCTGGGCTGACATCCAAGTTAGTGAGGAAAGGGATGTGGTTGATTAGAGGAGAAGATAAATTATTCCTATTAAATGGTCAAGTGATGGATTAGAGGTCATTAAAGTCAATTTTGATGCCTCTTGTATTAATGGTAGTTGTTCGATAGCTTGTATAGCTAGAGACCATATGGGCTGAATATTGGATTTCAAGTAGGGGTGAGCAAAAAAAACTAAAAAACCGAACCGACTAGTTCGGTTAACCAAATTTTCAGTTCAATTTTGGTTAACCATTTAAAAAAGCAACGGTTAACCGAACCGACCGATATATATATATACAATAATATATATTTATATAAATATTATATATATTATATTTTTTGAAAATCTAATTAAAAAGCCAAACTGAGAGTCTGAGACTTTCAGGTTTCAATTCAAACAACCTGTCTGACAGACTAACACCCGCCACATAGGGACTTTTCAGTTTTCCCTTTCTTTCCCCCTCTCTCTCTCAAACTCTCACTTTCTCAGACTCCCACTCTTGACTCTCCCAGTTCTCTCATCTCTGAGCTCTCTCTCAGTCTCTCTCTGAGCTCTCTTTCCCTCTCTATCTCTCAGATCTCTCTAAGCTTTATTTCTTTCCCTTTTCCCCTTTCCCCAACGGACTCTCTCTCTCTCTCTCTCTCTCTCTCTCTTTTAGACTCCCACTCTCCCAGTTCTCTTCTTCCCCAAAGGACCGACGGCCTTCGGCGCTCCACCCTCCGATCGAATCACCGACGACCTCTGACACTAGCGATCCCTCCTGCTTTGGCGACACCAGAGGTTCGGCTGCATTTGCTCGACGACACTGGTGATCCCTCTGCTGCATCTCCTAGTTCTCTTCGACTGTGCTTTTCCCTTTTTTATTTTAATTTTGAGAGCATAAAAAACAAAAAAATTGAACCGCGGTTAACTGGTCCACCGGTTAACCGGTTACATTGGTTCGATTTCGGTTCGATTAAATGTAAAGACCAAACATATTAGTTTGGTCCAGAAAATCACCTCATGGTTCTGTTAACCGAACCGTGAGCACCCCTAATTTCAAGGCTTATAAACTGGGCATTTCTACTGTCAATGTGGCAGAGGCATGGGCTACGTGGGGAGACCACAATTTTGCTCTAATTAATTCATTATCATTCAGGGTGATTCTAAGCTAGTGATCGACTGTCTGAAGAGTGCTACCAACCCCCCGTGGAGAGTGAAGGCGATTATTGAAGGTTGTAAGGTGTTGTTTGAGAGGTTTGGTGGAATGGTGGATTACCGTCATGTCTTCGGAGAGAGGAATATGGCTGGAGATTGGCTTGTTAATTATGTGCATTCTAATGAAGTCTACAATAGTTCCACTTCTAGGGATTTAATTGTTATTTGTTGTGTTGATTTTTGAGGACGTGCTAAGAAAAAACATATAACTAATCAATTGGGGTCATAAAAGTGGTAAGCAATCAAATGGCTTTAAGTAAATTGTAAAAGCTTTTTTTACCTTGAATATCTTCCATTTTTTAAAGTTTTTTTTTTATCATGTAACTAATTACTTAAAGGAGTCTAGGACTGACTTTGAATTTTTTCTAATTTTTTATTGTTGATTTGTCATTGTGTGCACACTGGAATTCCTTCATTCAACAGATGGAAGATGGAATACCAAAAAAATTATTAGCTTAATGAAGGACCAATTTTGAATAGACAAGCATTAGCAATGAATGAGCCCCATATGTTCAAACAAGAGTCCCAAATAGGACTTTTGCGTAGGCGCATGCCACGACTTGTCCAGTGCACACTGTTGGAGAAAAAGGGGTCACTGTAACTTTGAAGGAAAAGCTCTGAGGCGCGTCTGAAGACACTGTCTTTAGAACGTTATTTGCCCCCACTTAGTGTCACTGAGTTTGTTGTTGGGTTACAGGAAAATTCGTTCCCAGGATACAACAAAGCTTTGGGCGAGAATCTGCAACCAGCAAAGTTGAAGAGTCTCAAAAGAAACCTTCTGTGAGACTGTAGCAGACCGGACTGAGAGAGAGAGAGAGAGAGATAGTGAATTTCGAAATTGTGTGTTTTGGAGTCTGATTCATGCTCCTTAAATAATTTG